ACTATATTCATTTATTTCAAATATTAATTTAAACAGAAATTAATATCCAGACAAGAATATTACTCATAAAAGCCTAACTTTTGCAAACTGAATTATTTAATGTATTAAGCAACCTGTAAAAATTACAGTTAAATTAGAGCTTAAAGAAATTACCTAATTTCTCAAGAAGCAAATAAATTAATCTATTATTATGCATATCTAATTTTATTCATTTAAAATTCATGTTATATATGAGACATTTAATTTTTGACATAATAAATGTCTATATATCAGCCCCTTTAAATTATTTAACAAAATCTTTGATTAGTTTGAAGCAAATCTATTATTGATTTAAATGCATTTCTTTTTATTAAATATAAATTTATGTTTTTTAATCTTTGAAATTTTTCATCTCCATAACAGATATTTTTCACTAATCTCTTTTAATTTAAGGTTAATTAATTAAGCAATATTTCAGGATTCATATCAATATTGTATGAATTAATGAAGTAGGTATTTATTGTTATAAAAACATAGTTATATAAATTTAAACATAATAATTTTTCTTCACTTTTTTATAATTAATATCTTTTAATATTGTGAAGTTTTTGGATTGAAAAAAATCAGTTTAAATAAAAGATATAGATTTAGCACCATCTAAAATGGAATCCACTTTACTAGAATACGCTAATTTATTTCCATCAGGAGAGAAACAGACTGAATAGACAAACTGAGTATTACTATCTCATATGGTTTCTTAATATCCTAAATAATAGAGTTATCTTAACTACCAGAAGTTATAGCCTATTAATCAGGTGAAATGCATACTAAGGGAATTTTTTTTTTACATCCCTTAAACAGATAGAGATTTCCTCGGTGCTAGAAACAGTATGTTTCCATAATACAAGAAGCATAGTGGCAATGCACAATAATTATGACTATCCAATTTTTTCACCTGTTTTAAGACCCTATAAACTGATAGAATAATCATCTCTTCCAGATGCTAATGTAGCTTCATCAAAGCTGCTTGTACATAAATACTAGGGCGATGCAATTTAAAATTTTATTAACCCGTCCCCGAATCCAATTAGCGAAAGAATTATCTTCACTGCCGGATCCTAAAGTTCCATTAAGAAAATACTATACAGATAAAATGATACCAATTTTAATCTTTTTTAATATTTCTTTCCTATATACGTTAAATAAAGATAAAAAAATCCCTGTCTACTGGTTTAATTCAAGGCATAGTAATAAATTTTTAATTATCTTATTTCAAAAGAAAAAACAACTCTATTTTATAGGAATCATATTAAAAAGAAATGTTATAATAACGAAAACATATACAAATAAAAATTTAGGCCTTCTTATCATTAATAAGATATTTTTAAGAAACCAAACTCTTCAAACCGATATAATTTTGAAAAGCAAATTATAGATCAATTATCCTGAACTCAAAATCCATACCAAGTCCACTTTTTTGCTTAAAAAATACATAATGCAGTATATAATATATAACATTAAGTAATAGAAATTCAATATTAAAAATAAAAGTTAATGAATTAAACTTTTTAAGGGAAGGAATTTCTAGCTGACATCTTTGCTTAAATTAAAGGTGTAGATTAACAAATATTTGGTGTCACTTTAGAAATATTTCGAAAGGAAAAAGTTTAAGACTGCATTGGATATCTTTCAGATAATGGAAATCAAAGACATTTAGAGTAATAAATCTTACAAGGACTTAATTTTTCCCAAGTTAAAAATGAATAGAAATTGTATTTTGTGAGAAAAGACATGAAATAAATGACAGACGTCTTAATAAAATTAATAGATCATGGCTTCAATAACAAAAACTATTCTAGTGAAGGATATTTTAAATATATACAAGATCTAATTATAAGCATAAATAATAATAGATAAATCATTGAATTTTTATAATTTATAGTTCAACTCACATCCATTGATAATAATTTAATTTAATGTGGGTCTAATTCATTATATATCTTAGTTTAAATGAAGATTGATATTAGAAACAAAAATTTTGAAAATATTAAGATCTAAAATACTTCTTTAATCGGATCTAATTTTGTTAGGTGTAATTTAAGTGGATCAGAATTTGATAATGTTAACATAAATGGGATGAATTTGAATGGAGCATTATTATTTAATTGTAAATGGAAGAATTTGAAAATACATGAACTTAACAAATTAGATGGTCATAGTGAATGTGTGAGGTCGATCTGTATTTCTCCTGATGGAAATACATTAGCATCTGGTAGTTCAGATAAGTCTATTCGTCTATGGGTTATAAAAACAGGGTAATAAAAAGCCAAATTAAATGGTCATACTGAGATTGTCACTTCAGTCTGTTTTTCTCCTAACGGAAATACATTAGCATCTAGTAGTTATGATAATTCAATCTATCTCTGGGATGTTAAAACCAAAAAAAAAATAGCCAAATTTGATGGTCATACTTGGTGGGTAAACTCAGTCTGTTTCTCTCCTGATGGAAATACATTAGCATCTGGTAGTTCAGATAAGTCTATCCGATTATGGGATGTAAAAACTGGATAATAATAATCCTAATTAGATGGTCATACTAATTGTATCATATCAGTCTGTTACTCTCCTGATGGAAATATATTAGCATGTTGTAATCAATCCATTCGTCTATGGGATGTAAAAACTGGATAATAAAAATTTTAATTGGATAGTCAAACTTACACTTTCGACTCAGTAGGTTTTTGTCCTGACGGAACAATGTTCGCATCTGTTTGTTCGGATTGGTCTATCCGATTATGGGATGCAAAAACAGGATAATAATAATCCAAATTAGATGGCTATACTAGAAGTATTATGTCAGTCTGTTTCTCTCCTGATGGAAATACATTAGCATCTGGTAGTTCAGATAAGTCTATCCGATTATGGGACGTGAAAACAGGATAAGAAAAAGCCAAATTAGATGGTCATACTAGCACTGTTATGTCAGTCTGTTTCTATCCTGATGGGAGTTCATTAGCATCTGGTAGTGAAGATAAGTCTATCCGATTATGGGATATCAAAACAGAATATAAAAAAATTGAATTAGGTGGTCATAGTGGTAGTGTTACATCAGTCTGTTTCTCTCCTGATGGAAATACAATAGCATCTGGTAGTGAAGATACGTCTATCCGATTATGGGATGTAAAAACTGGATAATAATAATCCTAATTAGATGGTCATACTAATTGTATCATATCAGTCTGTTACTCTCCTGATGGAAAAACTTTAGCATCTGGTAGTTCAGATAAGTCTATCCGATTATGGGACGTGAAAACAGGATAAGAAAAAGCCATGCTGAAAGGTCAAAGTCATTGTATCTCCTCTGTCTGTTTCTCTCCTGATGGAAATACTTTAGCATCGGGTAGTCTAGATAACTCTATCTGTTTATGGGACGTAAAAACAGGATAAGAAAAGGCCATGCTGAAAGGTGAAAGTGATTGTATCTACTCAGTCTGTTTCTCTCCTGATGGAAATACATTAGCTTCTGGTAGTAACCATCCTAACCGTTTTCAAGGTATTTAATCTATCCACTCTATCATTATATGGGATATAAAAACAGGAGAATAACAAGTCAAATTGAATGGTCATACTGATCACGTCAACTCAGTCTGCTTCTCTCCTATTGGAAATATATTAGCATCTGGTAGTAATGATCGCTCTATCAGATTATGGGATATAAAAAAAGGATAATAAAAAGCTTAATTAAAAGGTCATATTACAGTTGTCACTTCAGTTAATTTCTCTCCTGATGGTAAAACATTAGCCTCAGGTAGTCTAGATAACTCTATTCGTTTATGGGATGTAAAAACAGGATAATAAAAAGCTATGCTTAATGGTCACACTAATGATATCTATTCAGTCTGTTTTTCTCCTGATGGAAATATATTAGCCTCTGGTAGTGATGATTAGTCTATCCGCCTATGGGATGTCAGAAATGAAAAAGAAATTTCCCCCCTTGATAAAACTTATAAAGATATTTTTGCTCAATTTAAAGCACCACTTTGTTTAAACAATCCTTTTTCAGGTATTTAATTTTTTAATGATTATTTAGATTTTAATTATTCAATTCTAGTAATATCCCAAGATATAATATTAGAAACATAGGGGACATTTTTCTTGGAAGGGAAATTCATTAACCATTAAGGGAAAGATTTAACATCATTATTTCAATCCAAAAAAAGTTACATTTTGCAAAACATCATATTAAAGTGAAAATAATTTATTTCAAGAACATTAGCAATATAATAACAATTTATGATGATATTTTTATTAATTAATTTGTTTAAAAGTTATTATCTATTTCTTTATTTGATTCAGGCTTTATTCTTAATTATTAACGGTTTAGTATATGTTTTTCTAAAAGTTGTATCTAATTATACAACTCCTTTACTTTACTGCTATTATTATCTATTTTCAGCCTAACGTAGATAATAATTATGTGGATGTCATAACAATTTCTATAGAGGCATATGATACTGCACTAAATCATTAATTATACACTCGATTAATTGATGGAATAATAACATTCGGCACATAGAAAAGGCTAACCCAAAGTAAGAAATAATATGTACTTAAATTACAAGTAAAGTAAAATTCCACTTTTCACTAAAAGCCTAACTTTTTGATTTTCATTAATTCTTTTTCCTTTAGAAAACAACATTTAACAAATCATTAATTTTTAATTATATTCAAGAATGATTTATTTCCATCTCAATTATATCGTATATTTGATTGATTTTTAGAGTTCTCCTCAGTATTCATTGTATAAAAGAAAGTAAATTTAAAATTATTTCTCTACTTCGTTAATTCTAATGTCTGATCAATTTACTATTCTTTTAATTTCAAGGGAACATAATCACAAAATGTGTATAATAGATCTGTCTAATGAAATTAAAATCCTTCCCAAATAAACATTCAACACAGAGTTTTCCTTAATATTGATCAGGTAATTTTGAGATATATGATAGGGAAAAAATATTGAATTTCTATTACTTTTTTTTTGCTCAAATAAATAATATCTTAAGAATTTATAATTATCGGCCACTTAATCAATAGTAAACAAATTTAATTGCTCATGTACCTCCTTAATAAATTTCGGCCTTAATAATGATTGAATTAAAGAGAAAAGGGGAAAAATTGATATTCGAACTTAGTAAATCTGTAAGATGAAATAGTAAAATATAATGATCAAAGTGGAACTGTCAGTTCAGTATGCTTCTCTCCATCTATGTTTTGGTAGGATTGTGGTTGCATCAAAATTAGTACCTCAATAAAACTAAAATATTATAACTTTTCATTTTTATCTATATCTACTACTAAAAAATATAATTTATGATAATGTTATTTGATAAAAAAATCAATATTACTTCTTTTGTTGTTATTTTTCCTTTAATTTTATTCAAAATCAAATAACCAAGATAGTAAAATCATTTTTGATTTAATAAAAAGAATATCTTTTTAATAAAATTTAAAGAATTAGAAATAATGTCAACAGAATAAGTAAATACTTAGATAAAGCTCAAAATTTCATAGATTAAGAATTCAAAATAGATTCTTCAATCTCTAAATTTAACAATAAAATATCAGATTTGTCATTATAAATAGTTAATTAATTTTATTTAACTGGTTAAACAGAGTTTTTATCAGAAATTATTTAAGAAGTGAAATCATTAATCCATAATAAAATCAATGATCAAATTAAGATTCAATCTTAATAAGAACATAAAATTACTAATAACTAATACACTCATAATAATCTTAATAATAATACTACTAACAAAAACAAAATCAAATCAAATCTTCTTCTTAATTCAATCTTAAACCATTTAAGATAGTTAATTTAGGCTTATTAGATTAAAAGAAAGGAATTGTGTTGAGCTATGGCTATTAATAAATATTGATCTATTATAGCAGTTGGATGTGATAAATAAATAAATATTCATGAATTCTCATAAGTAATGTTGAAATTAAATCAATTCTAAATCAACATAAAAGAGAATTGGTCTTTTTTAATTTCATGAAATAATCAACTTGATTNTATTCTTTTAATTTCAAGGGAACATAATCACAAAATGTGTATAATAGATCTGTCTAATGAAATTAAAATCCTTCCCAAATAAACATTCAACACAGAGTTTTCCTTAATATTGATCAGGTAATTTTGAGATATATGATAGGGAAAAAATATTGAATTTCTATTACTTTTTTTTTGCTCAAATAAATAATATCTTAAGAATTTATAATTATCGGCCACTTAATCAATAGTAAACAAATTTAATTGCTCATGTACCTCCTTAATAAATTTCGGCCTTAATAATGATTGAATTAAAGAGAAAAGGGGAAAAATTGATATTCGAACTTAGTAAATCTGTAAGATGAAATAGTAAAATATAATGATCAAAGTGGAACTGTCAGTTCAGTATGCTTCTCTCCATCTATGTTTTGGTAGGATTGTGGTTGCATCAAAATTAGTACCTCAATAAAACTAAAATATTATAACTTTTCATTTTTATCTATATCTACTACTAAAAAATATAATTTATGATAATGTTATTTGATAAAAAAATCAATATTACTTCTTTTGTTGTTATTTTTCCTTTAATTTTATTCAAAATCAAATAACCAAGATAGTAAAATCATTTTTGATTTAATAAAAAGAATATCTTTTTAATAAAATTTAAAGAATTAGAAATAATGTCAACAGAATAAGTAAATACTTAGATAAAGCTCAAAATTTCATAGATTAAGAATTCAAAATAGATTCTTCAATCTCTAAATTTAACAATAAAATATCAGATTTGTCATTATAAATAGTTAATTAATTTTATTTAACTGGTTAAACAGAGTTTTTATCAGAAATTATTTAAGAAGTGAAATCATTAATCCATAATAAAATCAATGATCAAATTAAGATTCAATCTTAATAAGAACATAAAATTACTAATAACTAATACACTCATAATAATCTTAATAATAATACTACTAACAAAAACAAAATCAAATCAAATCTTCTTCTTAATTCAATCTTAAACCATTTAAGATAGTTAATTTAGGCTTATTAGATTAAAAGAAAGGAATTGTGTTGAGCTATGGCTATTAATAAATATTGATCTATTATAGCAGTTGGATGTGATAAATAAATAAATATTCATGAATTCTCATAAGTAATGTTGAAATTAAATCAATTCTAAATCAACATAAAAGAGAATTGGTCTTTTTTAATTTCATGAAATAATCAACTTGATTGATTTCTGGGGATTAAGGATATATTTTAGTGTGGTCTTTTAATGATAAAAATTAATGGATTTGCTCATAAGCTATTTAGGGACAAGTAATTGGATTAGATGCATAATTTTGAATAATGATGAAGATCTTTTTATATCAAGTAGTTTTGATACGTCTTTTCAGTTTTGAGGTAAAGAAAAGAGTGGATCTGTTAATAAATAATCACAGACCATAGTAGTGATGTTCATCAATTAAGTTTGAATGAAAAGCAAATTTAAGGCATCTCTTGGGAATCTCATAAATTAATATCACTAATTGAGTAATCAGAAAGTGATAATATATGAGTTGAAATATAAAAATACTAGTTGATTGTTTTGAAGTTCGGATATGCTTGATCAACTTTATTCTATTCGCATTTCAACCTGGGTGTGGCGATTTAATGTATGTCTATGAGATAAATGGTGCAGATGAATGTTTCTCTAAATCAAAAAGAAATTGCCGTAAATGAAAATTTTGAGGGTCGTTACTATTCTCCATAATAATTTATTAAATTAAAATAGTTACTTATGAATATGCAGGATAAAAGTGTAAATTTAATAAGATTAAAAGAAAATGGTAAATTTAAAGTTAAGCAATCTATCAATTTGGTTCCAATTGTTTATTTGGATACTTGAGTGCCTTATGAGAATATTTGATTACTTGATATAAATCATCATTAGAAATTTAAATAAGGAGATTATAAGAATTAAATAATTATTACTTTAAATGTAATATATTAAATTAACAAGATAATTGTAAAAACTAAATGAATAATATAAAAATAAACAAAATTCAAAAAATGCTCTTTAATAGCATAATTTAACAAATAAGATGGAGAGGCTATAATTTTAATAAGAATTTTGATACTAAAGTTTAATAATTCTATGATAGGATTATCGATGGATTGTATTTAAGCAAAACAAATTATGGAGAGAATTTTATTATTCATTTACTTATATTTATCAAAAATAGTAATAATTATAAATTTGAATGATTAATTAATAGATCTTTTTAAATCTGATTTGATATTAAAGCTAAAAAACTATAATTATTGATAAATTAAGGAATATTTTAAGAACTGTTCTTTGAATAATTAAATAAAAATTGAATTATTCAAAATAAAAAAGAACATACAATTTATGGATTTATGACTAATGCTTTGGTAAATAATTCCGTTACTTATTCCATTTGGCCTATCCTATATATTTATAATAAAAATATTCAATTTTTAGCAAGCATATACCTTGAATAAATAATAATAAATGCCTTTAAAACATGAAGAATCTAAATATTATGGATTTATTATAACATCTTTATTACAATACCCTAATGAGTTTTACCTATCCTGTTCTCCACATTATATAAAAGAATTAAAAAAATACTCTAAATTTTATTTAAATTGTTTCCTAACCTAAAAAAGTCCAAAAAAAAGAATTTTTTTTTAATTAATGCCTCATATTATATATTAGAAAAACGATTATAATAAATAGACTTGTTGATTATAGACATATTCTTAATATAACTATTATTTTTGTAACCTTTCCTGCTTATGAATCTTCTTGATTACCATTTATCATCATACAAAATAATTATGTCTTTATGAAATTTTCTAAATATCTTACGATGAAAGTGATTCATCAATTCATATGAAATCTCCGAATAAATATCAATAATTATATTTTATCAATACAACAATAATATTCTAAATTAGTTGAGTAAATTTCAATTGCATTGATATAATATTATCTGCTTCTTTAAATTTGTGTCTAATTTACATTAAATTACCATTTCAAAATATTTATTTAGCATTCACCTGAAAAAATACTCTAAAATTTAACATATTCCAAAGTAAGTTTACATTATCCTTAATGATTATGAAGAAGATTCAAGCGATTTAAATAGAAGACTAAGTATTTGAATAGTGTAAAGAAATTAAAAAATAGGAAAATTGAAATAAATGCAAAAAATAAGAAGAATAAATATAAAATTTTACTAAATGAAGATAGATCACTGAAAAACTATTGTCGAATTTTACAGTAGTTTTTCAGCTAAAATCTATCAAGATTTCCAAAAAGCCAACTTAGATTTTATTTTGTATGATTGATTTTGATTAATAATATCTATGTATTTTTAGATATTATTTGGATGTGTACGAAAATTGTTTTCAGCTTTGAATAAGTTTCATAAAAATATTAATTTTGCTCATCAGAATTTTAGTTAAATAGCTCAATAAATATATTTGGGAAAAAATTTCAACATATGATTACGGCAATTATTCTTCAAGGCAAATACATTTTATTAAAAGATTTTGAGTGATTCTTTCTGATGCAATTCATTATAATAAATATTTGAGTAAAATTTTTCCAATTAGAATATTTGTGATAAATAAAAATAATAAAAAATCTAGACAGATAGCATAAAATAAATTATTTATGTTTAATGATATTACTATAAAATAACTAAATCTTGATAGTGTAGAAACTAATATAAATACAAATGTAATTTCAATTAATTAACATCATATAAAATTTGAAATCAATGGCTCTTAAAAGAATAAAAAGAGAATTTGAAGAAATTGAAAAAAATTAACCTCCAAATTATTCTGTCAGCCTTTTTAATAATGAAGATTTTTATTAATGGAAAGCAATAATTGTAGGATCCGAAGAATCTTTTTATAAAGGAGGTCGTTTTGTGCTCTAGATTAATATTTCTAAGAAATACCCTTTCAAACCTCCGAAAATTAGGTTTCTAACTGAAATATATCATCCAAATATTAAATCTTTTGGATAGCTTTATTTCAATNTACAACAATAATATTCTAAATTAGTTGAGTAAATTTCAATTGCATTGATATAATATTATCTGCTTCTTTAAATTTGTGTCTAATTTACATTAAATTACCATTTCAAAATATTTATTTAGCATTCACCTGAAAAAATACTCTAAAATTTAACATATTCCAAAGTAAGTTTACATTATCCTTAATGATTATGAAGAAGATTCAAGCGATTTAAATAGAAGACTAAGTATTTGAATAGTGTAAAGAAATTAAAAAATAGGAAAATTGAAATAAATGCAAAAAATAAGAAGAATAAATATAAAATTTTACTAAATGAAGATAGATCACTGAAAAACTATTGTCGAATTTTACAGTAGTTTTTCAGCTAAAATCTATCAAGATTTCCAAAAAGCCAACTTAGATTTTATTTTGTATGATTGATTTTGATTAATAATATCTATGTATTTTTAGATATTATTTGGATGTGTACGAAAATTGTTTTCAGCTTTGAATAAGTTTCATAAAAATATTAATTTTGCTCATCAGAATTTTAGTTAAATAGCTCAATAAATATATTTGGGAAAAAATTTCAACATATGATTACGGCAATTATTCTTCAAGGCAAATACATTTTATTAAAAGATTTTGAGTGATTCTTTCTGATGCAATTCATTATAATAAATATTTGAGTAAAATTTTTCCAATTAGAATATTTGTGATAAATAAAAATAATAAAAAATCTAGACAGATAGCATAAAATAAATTATTTATGTTTAATGATATTACTATAAAATAACTAAATCTTGATAGTGTAGAAACTAATATAAATACAAATGTAATTTCAATTAATTAACATCATATAAAATTTGAAATCAATGGCTCTTAAAAGAATAAAAAGAGAATTTGAAGAAATTGAAAAAAATTAACCTCCAAATTATTCTGTCAGCCTTTTTAATAATGAAGATTTTTATTAATGGAAAGCAATAATTGTAGGATCCGAAGAATCTTTTTATAAAGGAGGTCGTTTTGTGCTCTAGATTAATATTTCTAAGAAATACCCTTTCAAACCTCCGAAAATTAGGTTTCTAACTGAAATATATCATCCAAATATTAAATCTTTTGGATAGCTTTATTTCAATGAAATAACTGATTAATGGTCACCTGCCCTGGAGATAAGCAAAAGTATTAAAGAGCTCATTCTTAATTTTAGTCCTTGCAATAATATGCTAATTATTGAGTAATCCAGACCCAGATTCTCCATTAGTGCCAGAAATAGCAAAGATTTATAAATCCAATAATTAGCTCTTCATATAAACAGCCTAAAAATGTGTACGAAAATATGCTAATTGATTTTTTCTTAAATAAATTGATATCCTTTATTTTATATTTTTTGATCAAATTGATCAACACTCAAACATATTGAATTTAATTTAATAGAGAAGTTTGAAAAATGATAATATAATTAACATAAAAAATCATACTTATGTACCTATGATAAATATTGACATTATTTATGTCAAAATCTTGTTGCTATATAATTTAAATCCAATTATTTATTCTGGATAATTATAATATTTATAAGAATACCAATTGCTAGATGCATATTAAAAAGATATATTCAATAATCTAAAATTGCTGAGCATTTTCACAATAATGTAAAGGTCATAAATTAAGTTTGTTTTAAATTTATTTCCAAAATCAAATTTATTACTACCATTATCAATACATTTGTATTTAAACCAAGAAAAGAGATAATATCTGCAAATAATAATATTCATTAGAATAATCTGAGCATTATCTACCCTTAATGTTTAGAATTTATTTGAGTTACTTCCACTAGGCTTCTCTCCTTTATTAACTTAACTATTTCATTTAAAAAATCTAAGTGATTTTATTTTTATGTAAAAATTGAAACAAATCCAATGATCTTAGTCAATTCAAAATTTTGATATTATGAATACATTATCGATGCTATTTATTGTCAATCCTATATATTCTCATTCCACTTTCGTTTCCTTATTTAAAAAACATATTTTAAATAATATTGCGTTCCTTCTTTCTGTAGATTTTTTTTTTTTTAGATGCTTTTTCCTTTCATTTAATTATTTTTGGAAACCAAGCATTTTTATTTTCATATTTAGAAGATATTTAAATTAAAAAATGAGAACTATTAAATCAGTATCATAAATTATTTGGAATTAAATTTTATATTGTAATCATTATTTTTATCTAAATATAAGATGAAATTACATCAATTATTGTTACTTTTAATAAGTTAAAATATTTTATAGAATAAAAATGTTGTTTCTAATTCCTATTACTGCAAAATTGTTGAATTTTTATAATTTAATCAGAAAGTTTCAATAAAATAAAGTTAATCTACCGTTAATTTATTAAATACATCAAATGTTAAATTTCAAATGTGGCTAATCTTTGTTGAAGAGAAACTATAATATCAAAGCTTTCTATTTCTTTTTCATGTATTTCTACAAAGAGGTTTTAATTTTTATTAATCTCATCTAGTTATCCTTCAATAATGTGCTGTACTTATCTCCCTCAAAAAGTATATATTCCTAATTGATTAGACTTTTGTTTTCCAAAAATTATCATCCAAGACTAAGTTCTTGTCGTTCTTATGAGTTTTCTACAATTTGAGTATTGTTTGCTTCTAATTATTCTTTAATAATTATTCATATTTTTGATGTTCTGAAGTACTGTTCTTAACTTTTTTAGGTAAGATTAATGCTTAAAAACTTTAAGGCATTTTTAATATCTAACATGCAAATATATGTCATTCTATAAGTTTTGTCATAATAATATTTGAACTAATACTATGTTTAATTTTGCTGGAGTTATTCTCACAAAAGATATTCTTCTTTAAGTTAATCAGATACATTCAATAAAAAATGAATAATAAAAATAAAGTATTTATGTTATTAACATAGTTATAATTCATTTAGAAATTTTGTCAATAATCGGAATACTGATTAAATCCTTGATCTAATTTATGAATTAGAAGGAATGCCAGGTGTTGATGGCTTTAATTTAGATTTAAATAAGCCCTAAATCTATGCCTGAATAATTTAAAAATACTCTTGTAAAGATTTAAACTCCTAAAGATATTCTATAGTTGATTAAAAGTTAAAACGAAGATTTAAAATAAATTTAATAAATATAATTTAACATTAGTACGATATTCTGAAAAGGAGTTGATTGATGGAATAGGTTTAATTTGGTCAAAGAAATTTTATAGTGATTATTTGAGGGTTAACTTTAGAATTCTGTTTAAAATCCAAAAAATCGATGATTTTAGATCAATAACAGAAGCTAACCTAGTATTAACAGAAGAGAAGAAGCATACTGAGCAAACATGAGCACTATTATCATCCGATTATCATTTCTAAACGGATAGTTATCATGCATTATCTTCTGATTTTTTATCGCTGTCATTCTAAATTTCTTACTCTATTCTACTTATTTGAAATCATCTCTACAATATTCACAAAATTAAGAATTTCTGATTAAGAACTTATTTGCAATAAAATTATTTATTATCAGAAACAAATAATACATATTCAAAATATCAAGGCTTAGAAATGTATTTAAAGTAGAATTTAATAAATAATAAATTTTATTGATAAGAAAGATGTATAATAAGTATAAAAAATGTAAAATTGAGACCATAAGAAATCGCTTTATAACATTTCACTTTAATTCGGATATGTCAAGTAAGTATGTTAGATAATTTAAGAAACCTCCTCAGTACATTAAGAGATTATTTATAAACTAATTTTCAATATCTTTCTTCTATATTGATAGTTAAAGGGAAAAATACTATCATTCAATACTATTTTGAAAATATGATAGAAGAAAAAATTAAGAATGTTTGAGAGAGGGAAAAAATAAAAAAAATTTTATTGATTAAGAATTTTTTGAGAAAATTGAAATTATGTAATTATTTTTACTTTCAATTTTCAGAGTAGAATAATATATTCCATATTATCAATGAATAAAGTGATGTGCAGTCTATTTGATTTCACAATATCCAATTTTACCTCAATTATAATCAATTCCAAATCTTATGAAAGGTTTTGCATTTTTTATTTACAAAAATCCACAAGATACTTTTGATTTGGTTGCTTAAAGATTAAAAAAAATAATTTGAAATTCATTATTTAAGAAAAAATAATAATAATGAATTGTAGTTATAAATAGAAATAAGATTTGCATGAGCATCTAGCTTCATCTAACCATATTGATGATTAACTATATAATGTGATAATTGAAATGTTTAGAAAAGAAAATATTTCTGATTGCCAAAAATCTCTTTCGAAAGATGATGCTCAAAAGCATATATAATAATACATCATAGAAGAATTAAATTATTCGTTTGTTGATAAGTAATAGAAGTTAAAAGATGTAACAAATAACATTACAAAAATTACTAATATTATAAAAAGTATTTATGAACATGACTTTAATAAAAATGACTATTCCACAAAAATATACTTGGAAAGGAGACAAGAACTCATTCAAAATATATCCAAAAACAAAAAAATTATCTAATTTTTAAAATTTCTAGTTTCTCTCACATCTATAGATGAAAAATTTATATAAAGTGGATCAAACTCACTGAACTTATTAGTTGAAATGAAAGTTGATCTATCAAAACAAAGCTTTATAAATATTAGAATTAAAAATACTTCTATAGTTGGAGCAAATTTAATAAGAAGCAATTTGAGTGGGTCTGAATTAGACAATGTTGATATAAGCGGAATAAATTTAAATGGGGCTTTACTATTAAACTGCAAATGGAAGAACATAAGGATTAATGAATTTCATCATTTAAATGGTCATAGTAGTTATGTCAAATCAGTATGCTTTTCTCCTAATGGTAAAATATTAGCATCTGGAAGTAATGATAATTCGATTCGTTTATGGGATTTTAAGACAGGACAGTAAATATCGTAATTAGATGGTCACAGTCAGGGAGTACTTTCATTATGCTTCTCTCCTGATGGTATTTCATTAGCATCTAGTAGTGATGATAAGTCTATCTGTTTATGGAATGTTAAGACAGGATAATAAAAGATAAAATTTGAGGGTAATTGTAATACTGTCTATTCAATATGCTTCTCTCCTGATGGTACCACATTAGCGTCTGGTAGTGATGATAAGTCTATCATTTTATGGGATGTTAAGACAGGACAATTAAAATAGTAACTTTATGGCCATAGTTATGGAGTCCTATCAGTATGCTTTTCTCCTAATGGAACCACATTAGCATCTGGTGGTGATGATAAGTCTATCTGTTTATGGGATGTTAAGACAGGACAATTAAAACATAAATTAGAAGGTCATAGTTTTGGAGTCCTTTCAGTATGCTTTTCTCCTGATGGTAAAACATTAGCATCTGGAAGTAACGATAATTCGATTCGTTTATGGAATGTGAAGACAGGACAATAAATATCGTAATTAGATGGTCATAGTCAGGGAGTACTTTCATTATGCTTCTCTCCTGATGGTATTTCATTAGCATCTGGTAGTGTAGATAAGTCTATTTATTTATGGGATGTTGTGACATAACAATAAAAATCTCAGTTAATAGGTCATGGTGATAGTGTAAATTCAGTATGTTTCTCTCCTGACGGTAGTACATTAGCCTCTGGTAGTTCAGATAAGTCCATCTATTTATGGGATGTTTTAACAGGATAATACAATACTCAGTTGATAGGTCACGGTGATAGTGTTAATTCGGTGTGTTACTCTCCTGACGGTACTACATTAGCCTCTAGTAGTGGTGATTAGGTTATTTGTTTATGGGACGTCAAGACTGGCTAATAAAAATCGATATTTATGGGTCATGGTGATAGTGTCAATTCAGTTTGCTTCTCTCCTGATAGTAATACATTAGCATCTGGTAGTTCGGATAAGTCTATCTGTATATGGGATGTCACGACAGGAAAATTAAAATTGGAATTATATGGTCATATTTCTGGAGTGCTATCAGTATGCTTCTCTCCTGATGGTACTACATTAGCATCTGCCAGTTTTGATAAGTCTATCTGTTTATGGGATGTAAAGACAGGACAATTAAAATCTAAATTAATAGGTCATGGTGAAAGTGTGAATTAAGTATGCTTCTCTCCTGACGGTATAACATTAGCAACTGGAAGGTATGATAATTCTATCCGTTTGTGGAATGTAAAAACAAGAAAAAAACATTCTAAATTTGATGGTCATAGTCATGGAGTACTATCAGTGTGCTTTTCTCCTGATGGAACCACATTAGCATCTGGCAGTGAGGATAACTCTATCTGCTTGTGGGATGTTAAGACAGGAAAAAAAAATATTTAATTTGAAGGTCATAGTCATGAAGTCTTAACAGTATGTTTTTCTCGTGATGGAACCACGTTAGCATCTGGTAGTGTGGATAATTCTATCCGTTTATGGGATGTTAAGACAGGATAATAAAAATCTACATTAGAAGGTCATAGTAATACTGTCCGATCAGTGTGCTTTTCTCCTGACAGTACTAAATTAGTATCTGGTAGTCAAGATAATTCAATTCGTTTATGGGATGTTTAGAATTTACAATACTAAACTAGATTGGATGGACAGAGTTTTTTTATTGAACCACCATATAATTTATCTGAAGCCGCCCTATCAGCATTTGATATTAATTATATGAATATTAATGTAGGACAATAAATTTCCGTCGATTAAATATATAAAGATATTCCTAGTACTTTTTCATAAAGGGGTATTATATTATATATGATTTTAGTAGACAATTATATTACAATTTTACTGATTTCTTAAAAGCCAATATTTTAAGCAAAAGGTGCCTTAATTTTCAAAGGAGAATTTATTAATAAAGCAGGAATTGATTTAAGATAACTATTGAAATAAAGAGGAAGTTATATTTTGGAAAGCTAAATAGAATTTTAATAAAAGTAAAATTGAATATTGTAAAGAATCTTTATAAATATAAAATATCATTTATTTTAAAAGAAATAAATTTTTTGGTTCCAAAAAATACATCTTACAGGCTTTTGCAATAATTTCTCATATTTATAAGACAAATATGATTCTGATCAATATATCGAGGAGTAAATTAGATAGAAATGCTCAAATACAACGTATTATTTTTCTTAAAATAAATCATATTTTCTTTCTTATGTATTTCAGTATTCTCGCGAAGACTATATTGATATTGAGAAGTATAATAACAAGAA